CCATTAAAAAGTTGTTTAATTAAAATGGAGACTATTTTAAATGATTTTTATTTTTTAAGGGCTTAAAACCTAATGCTCTGCATTTTTCTGCACTGATTTTTTTTTTAATGTGCTTGAAGCTGATCAAATGCTGCTTTAACATTTGTAATAGTAAAACCACAGACCCAGACTGTACTTTTATATTTTATGGGCAAAGTTCTTATTTTACTAAACCCTTTACTGAATTTTCATCATAATGTATAAATCAATGTGTATATTACCATCTGGTTTGTGTTAAAAATGTCAAAGATCAAAATACTCACTGATAACCAAAGAAATTTATCTTTTCCTGAAAGTCAAGGACAGGTTGCACTGCAGGGTTTGAAGCACATCAGGGAAGTGTTTTGGGTACCCCCTGTGACCCCAGGGAGGCTTTGGGCCCGTAACCACTCTTACAGGAACGTTATCATATATCACTTCTTATAATTTATAAACACACCAAATCGAAGCTCCATGGGACATGGGCAGTGTGCGCCTCGTTCTGGTTTGTGTCCCCTCCACTCCGAGTCAGGCCTGGGAACTCAAATAGTTGACCGAGTAGCGAATACAGCTATTTAGCTCTGTCCCTGTGGCGATCTGGGCAAACATACACCATTGCTTTTCCCTGCTGGTCTTCAGTGACTCCACGGCGCACACTGGGCCGCTCTCACCAACCACCAATCTGGTACTTCTAGAATTAACATGTCAATGTCACTTTTCTGAAGGCAAATGTTCTCTGTGGCACAGGGAACACCTTGTCTGTTCCAGGTTGACAAGCATGGCAGGAAGCTCATAGCAGATCTGCCAGCTGGGTGCCCCCACCTCTCCACCCCGGGGCCCGCACAGCCAATGCGTGCGCCCTTGGTCTAGGCCCCAACTCCCACCGTGTCTTTTATCAGTGCTGATGGTTGAAGACCCCACCCCAGGTAGCTCCTCTGAGATTTCGTCTTTTCTGAAACAGAATTCTTACTTTGCTCGCTGCTTCAAGAAAGCATTGGGAGAATCAGGTGAAAAACCCAAAGTACTTAGAGCGCCCTTTTGAATTAGTCCTCTTTTACTGAAATAGTAGAGATTCCTGTGTAAGGAGGACAATTGCCAGGTCTCTTCGTGTGCTTACATCAGCAACATGTGACCACTGATGGCTCCTGGTGGACCCAGCTGGTCTCCTGAGCTGCAGCACCTTGGACCCAAGTGGACTAAGTTCTTTTATTTATTTTTTCTTATCTTTTTATTATCATCCCATGGAAATAGAATTATAAGATTTCATTTTGAAAATTAGAATTAAGATGGGAAAGACTAAGGAAATAATTTTACATTAAACTATACATACATTTATTTTAATAAAGTTAAAATCTCTCTGGCTTAGAACTATAATTTTTCTGAAAAGTCAGTGAAAGTTTTAAATTAGTACTTCAGAATTATATTATAATAAAGCCATGGAGTTCATATTCTGGGCAAAGTATTAAATTTTGCTACCATAATTACTTAGCATGTCCTTGCATTCCTCTTGAAAATTGTTCTTCTGATTACAAAAGGAATATTTATTTATTGTGGAAAAGTTGGAAAAATATTTTAAAATACAGAAATCAAAAGAAAAACTTGTAATCCTTCCACTCAGAGCTAACCACTGATAACATTTTATTTATACACATATATAGCAACATATATAGGATAATTTTTCTATGCTCAGAGGATACGTATATTTATTATTTTTGCCCAAATGGATGCTACTGCATATGCTGTTTTGAATCTGTATCAGGATGCATTTCACGCCTGGTAACAGAAACCTGAGCTTAAACACATTTAAACATGGCTGAAGAACATTATCTCCTGAAGCAGGAAGGTCAGAGATGGGGAGGGATGCAGGATGGTCCACTGACTCCATCAGGTTGTCACGATCCAGGACCCAGGCACTTTCCCTTCTCTCTGTCCTGCCACTGACATTAGCAGCTTCATGCTAAGGCCACTGCCCTCATGGGCGTGCAGTTGCCACCATGCACGTGTGAGACCTGCTTCCTTGTGCACATCTGCTGGAGGGATAACAGCCTGGTCCAGCCACAGGGAGCAAGGCCTGCCCTCAGGTCCGATGAGACTCAGCAGGAGTGGCCACCCCAGCTCGGTCACCAGGTACTTGCCATGGGCAGACAGGCTCCAGCCTGGCCTCTCTGTGAAGCACCAGGGGAGGGATTGGATTAGCACGATTAGCAGTTCTGCAAACCACACTGCTTCTCTACAGTGGTGCAGATTCAGAATAGATGTTGGAAGTCAACCCAACTCAGGAACCCACCATTCTCACTGAACGTTTTACTAACACACATACGGGTCCTGTGGAAGGATCCCTGAGCTGCTTGTTCATCGTTCGTCGCCTTGGGCTCTGGTCTTGTTTGCTCCAACTCTCAAAACTCAGTCCTTCCTCCAGCTTTTGTTTACCCTCCGCATCCCTTGGGGTTTCCAGGGGAGGGTGGCTCCGGCAGCCCCTGGGGCAGCACATTTCCTGGCTGACGCCCAGCAGAAGTGAAAAGATCTCTCCTCCAAGCCTGGTCCTTCCCTTGGGCCCCATGCCGCTTCCTCATTGTCTTGAGTATGGCTGTGGTCCCTTGACTGGCCTCTAAAGATTGCTGTCCAAACCTGGAGCTTGGGCAGGCCGACTCCGTCTCACCCACAGCTCCCTGGGGAAGGTGTGGGCCCCACAGCAACATCAGGCTCAGCCAGGGAGGACAACTCAGAGAAGGGACGCCTGCTACCCACGGCCCTGTCTTTACAAAGTCTTCCCTGCTTAAGCATTACAGCAATTACCAGAATTTGAAATTAAGGTGAATGTTCTTAGATATTTTAATTATCCAAAAAATCAGTTCCTTTTATAGAAATACTGCATTCAGAGGGAGTTAGATAGGAAAAAAGGATAACGTTTTCTGGGGAATTGTTCCTCATTAATCCAATGTTCTCCAGAGTCTGGGCATTTTTGTGGTGCGTTTTTTGACATTAGTTAAGTTTTTTTCACAAGTTTTTATTTAAACAGGCACAGAAATTAAAAACTAAAAGAAAAAATGAGCTTAAAGATATCAATTATAATAAATGTAAAATTTTTATTCTCTATGTACTTTTTTTATTTTCTGTACCCTTGAGACACTTCATAAATAATATAGAGAATTAATGGACATTTTTGGATAATAGCTCTGAGAAATAATAGGCATATTTGAAATCACTATGGCAAAAATCATGTTAAAGAAAAAAATTATATTGTTCTTAAAATTGTACTATTAAATGTGTAGCTTCACATGTAATAAATATTCACATTTAATTTTAGGTGCCAGTGTAACATATACTAAAATAAAATGGAATAATTTCTATGGTTCTCCAAACGAATCTATAAAGGAGTCATAAATATTATAGTAAAACTTTTTCAAAATATTTTTATGGGACTAAAAATTGAAAACTTCCTAATAGAAAAAAATTTTTAAGTGAGAAATGAGATAAGTTAGTCACGGAGACCTCAAACTGTAATAGATCCTGTAGAAACCCTGGGTAAGCAGTAACTTCTTAAAATAATTTTACACAATGGACAAAAATCAAGGGTTTTTGAAAAAGCTTTCCAAAAGGTAGCAGGAAGAAAGAGATTATTATTATACTAAAATTCATCATGGGAGGTTTTTATGTTTTTTATGTTATTAGAATAGAGATCTTTAGTTTGTCTGAACCTGCAAGAGCTCTAACTATCTAGGATTAAAATGTGAACAAATAAACCATTCCCTGTAGAGGAACGCAGCTGTGGGAGGTAGCAACGCTCTCTGGGCTCCATCCAGGGCATTTCTGGTGCCTTGGAAACAAGAGCACACACTAGATGACATTCTGGTGTCCACACTGTATCTTAGCCTCGGAGCCCAATTCTCCAGCCAAAGAAAAGTTTACTCACTTTTGTGTGTTTTTTTGGGGTTTTTTTTTTTCCAACAAATGCTACATCCCCTACTGTTTTACCTGGCAAAAAAGAATACAGAGTCACAGCGTGAACAAAGGGTAATAGGATGCCCACTTTAATTAAAAGCTGCTTGGATGTATGGCAGTTGTGTCTTCCCCTCCTCCCCCTCCTCCTCTTCAATACGTAATCTGGTGAGAGTCTGTGTGTGGTACGACTGGCAGAGCACCAGTGTACATGTGAGAAGACCTAGTCCCCGCTCTGGTATTATTATTACCTTGCTGTGTTGCCTTGAACAAACAACCTCTCTGATCATCAGTTTTCTCATTTCTAAAGAGAAGGTGGTAGGGGCAGTGTGCCTCAGAGATTCCTTTGCGCAGTAGAATTGGGACATTGAGAAGGATTCGGTGATGCTCAGCTGAACAGTTTGCACCCCTAGGACGTTGGGAGAGAGCACAGGTGAAGAGTGTTCTGTCCTGGAGTTAGGGATTCTGGGAGAACTGAGCTGAAGGGAATCAGCAGGACGGTGCCCGCTGGCAGCTTGCCTTCTGCCCACTGGCCTAGAAATAGATACACAGAGGCTCTAATGAGGCTTCCTGGGAGGTAGAGAATCACCACAAATTCATTTTCCCTGGGTCCAGGTTTTGGGGGTGCAGCCCTCCATTTGAAGGGTTTGTGCCCAAAGCATGATCAGAGAGCTGCACCCGAGGCAAAGCCCAGCTGTTCTGGAACTTCATCCAGCTTGCTATGAATCCCCAGAGGAGCCTTTGAGTTTTAATAAACCCTGCACGCATATGTCCCAAATACTGTTCTCTCGCAGCTGAGGGTTAGGGCAGGTGTGGGGCACCGGGAGAACTCAGACCCTCCCACAAAAGCACATCCATGGGACCCAAGTGGGCTCAGCCGCCGTGGTCCTGAAGTCGGCCTTGGATTCGTTCCTGTCCCTCCGGGTCCTTTTTAACCATAAAAAACCTCTGGATATTCCTTTGCAGTTGGCCTAATAAGTGAATCTGTCTTACAAGTAGAGGTTTCTCGGAGTGGCTTTGACACTGTCCTTTGTCTGCCACAGAGCCATCACGCTGGAGAATCAGCTGGTGATCCTTGCGGCCACAGCAAGTGACGCGGGGGCCTACTACGTGCAGGCCGTCAACGAGAGGAATGGCGAGAACAAGACCAGCCCGCCCACCTATCTGAGCATAGCAAGTGAGTTCTGGAAACCCAAACGATGGTTCTGATATCCGTGAAGCCTTGGTTTAATTAATAAGCATTGTCTCGTGGGGCATTTGGCAATAAGCCCTATCTCTGGTAGAGTGGTTATGTTTTAATATTGATTGAAAGTCAATGGTTGCTTTCTTTGAAGTGGTAAGCAGAGAATGTGGATATAACTGCTAATCCTGAATGAAGGTCTTACTTTGGGTATTTAAAACAACATTTTTGCCTTTGAACACCATTAATGTGTATTGTTTTTAACAACAACAACAAAAACTTGACTTACAGGAGCTGGGTCTATGAACCTTATTTGAGACTAGATTAGGCACAGGTTATGTTCTTTTAATTTAATAATAAAGTCCTTGGGAAAATAATATACTAATATAATTGTGGTAAAATGAACAGTTATTTCTTAAACATAAGCAGCTGATCATTTCTCTTTCTCCTGGATTTAACTGAATCAGATGGAGAATACACACAAGTCCAGCTGCACGTGCAGTTTATTTAAGGACATTTTAGTTTGAGGAAATTTCATTTAAATGTTTGGCCTTTGAAAGAAGGTTCCAGAAATTCTACCAAAAGGGCATTGCTGGAGAAGGGGAAGTGATCAGAATCGAGAACTACACATCAGGGGCGTGTCACCAAAAGTTTGCATCATAAAGGACGCTTCATGGCATGAAATGCAGTGATTATGCCATTGAGAAAATACAGCCGGGAAAAGGCAGTGGTAAATTTCAAGGTATTTTGATCACGCCGTATAAGAGTGAGTTAAATGGATTTGTCTGTATAGTAATAGATTTCACCTTTTTAAAAAAACGCCTGGAAGGAACGGCTTTCCCCTTCAGGTAAGTTGTTTCATGCATGCAATAGGGTCATGGTGTTTGCTTCTCATGGTCCTTGAGGGGCATAATGGCTTCGAGGAGAATGTACTGAGTGAATGTTTGTAGCACAGCCCAGAGGCAGGCGACTGGGACTTCCCTGAGTGTGTTCTCAGGCCCACCACATTCCTAGCCAGCGCCCCAGGAGGCCATCCGCCTGCCATCAGCTCCCTAATTCTTGGAACTCAGCTCTGCTCTCTGGACTGAGGGCTGAGTGGGCCACCCGCATGGCCTTTGCATGGTTTGGAGAGTTGCATCCATCAATTAAACGTGGGGCTCCCCAAATCCAGTGCCTAACGTACTGCTGTTTAAAGGGAACTCTGAATTGAGAATCATGATAGAAATGCGTGTTATTTCTCAAGATTTTTTCAATACTGATAATAGATAATAAAGGACGGAAATTGTGTTATAAATACATTGTGATTACTTTAATGATTTCCAAGTTTTACAGTTAGAGCCATTTATTCTGTCTAGCAAGTCTGATTCAGCACTAAATTCTAACAGACATAACAGGATAGTAATAGGTCAAACGGTAGAATTTTGAGTCAGAAACAAGGCAATTGACCTTAGTCTGTTAGAAGGGGTAAAATTGTACAATTATGTTGGTTAACACGACGCTAGCCTCACGAAGCTCTGACATAGTCTGCATGCAGGCATTCCCTCCCTGCCTACTCGCTAACGGTCCATAGAGAATCAAACTGACAGGGTGAGCGTGCACATTGCCATGCTGATGCAGTGCTGTGGCGTTAGATAACTGGGATGTGTACAAAGTTTGTCGGTAATTTCAGTTTCTACTCCAACCAAAAATACATTGGAAGCAGCTCATGAATATTAACTCTCTCGCATTTCATTCCCTTGTATATTTTTATCTTTTCATTGGCACCAGGTAAAATGTGTAGAAGGTGGGATGTAAGGAGGTTGATGATATGGATGGACTTATTTTAAATCTTAGGAGAAAACCTGCATTTTGTTCCCTTATATAGTCTTTGCTTTTTATCCGGATCGGTAAAACGTGAGAAGTAAGGAGGCTGAGGAAACAGCCTTATTTTAATTCTTAGGAGAACCTTCCTGTTGACATATTGGATTTAGCTAAAAGTTAAATGGTACCCAATTATGCATTTCCTCACTAAAAGTTCTATTTTGAAAACCTCTAACTATCAGAAGTCTTGATAAATCTGCAGAAACCCCCGGAACTGTGTGTTTGAGGTTTGCTCTTTCCTGGACTTCAGCGAGTGCTCTGAGCAGCAGTTCAGGCCCCAGCTGCCAGCATCTGTGAGGCCCTGAAGAGTGCCTCGCCTTCAGAGTTATTATGGGTTAGATATTCTCAAGACCTGTTCCTGCTGGTAGTAAGACACAGTGTGCTCTGCAGCCTTCAACATCTTTTTTTCTGATGTAGGATTTGTGGAAAAAAACAAAAAACAAAAACAAAACAAAAAAAACCACCAAACAAGATTGATGAAAATTTTTAAAAACTTGCCAGCCAGCGTTTCTGAAGAATCAAAAGATATTACAGCCAATTATCATTTAACAAAGATAAATTTGTCCTCAGCGTCGGGAGATTAAAGTAGGGAGCCTTTAGGCAGCGAGTCCGATCAGGTTTGTAAGTTACTGGAAATTAAATTCCTGGTGGATTGTCCTATAATTACTTTACAGTTGGAGAGTGCCATGTGGCCCTGTTCCCTCTGCAGGGACAGGCTAGGGCAGGAGTGGCGCCACACCCAGGGGCCAGCCTGGCCTCCCAACATCTGGATGAGTGATACACTGTCACGCAGCTAACAGGAGGAAATGATACGTTTTCCCAAACAGCTGTGTACTTGAGAGCTCAAAACCTTACCACCGTTCAGTTACTATTTTGGCAACACTTGAAGCTTATGGGAAGCAAAGGATACAGAGGATTTAGATAAAAATAATTTTTCTTCAAAAGCGTGATAATTAGAAGTGAAATGCTGTCCCATCATGGCACCGCCCGCTGTTCTGGGCATGTTTAGTGGATGGCATTATTGCCCCTTAACATTCCCCCCTTTGCATCGTTAAGGAGATAAATTACCGCGTGCTCTGCAGAGACACGTCCTGTCAGGAAGCAGAGGACTTTTGAACTATCCATTCTCCTACTCCTCCGGAAGCTTGCTGCCATCCCAGGGGCGGATTCTCTTTGAAGTTGTAATGTGACGTGAAGCCGGCAGATGTTAAGGACTTAGGTGGGACTGTTGGAGCATCCTGCATGCATTTTTCATAGCCGGCTCCCGCAGCTCAGGTGCGCACCACAAAAAGAAAAGTGGGCCGAACTCATCTGAGAGCAGACATTTCCGTTCTGAGGGCAAACCCAGACAAGTTTTATAAATCCATCAAATCTGTTTTTGGTTTTCGCTTTGAAGATTTTACATTGAGTTAACTTCTGTGAATCGGATCTTCGGGGCTGAATTGATATGTGCACAGAGTTTCTTCTTTAGGCAAAGGAGGAGGATAGAAGTTAGCAGATGAGAAGAATTCCGTACAGGGGTGGACCGGTCGTTGTTTCAGTGACGCCTCACATGCCACACACTCATCAGCAGTGCCCAGTACTCAGTGTCCGGGGTAATGAGATTGTCTGCGGACGAGGCTGAGATTATAAAGGAAACGACTACCTCTCTCCTAACGGGTTTTTTCACCTCTTTCATTTCAATGTCTCCTCTGTGAACAACATTCACAGGTAGGACACCATTTTAACTGTCCCTCAGCAGGCTGGCAAGCCCTTGCTTTTAATTCCAGGCCACTCACTATTCTTTTGTCCTCTGTGATGCTAATTTGACTGCAGACCTCATATATGTTTACTGGCTGAAAGTGGGTTCCTGAGAGTGATGTCTAGGAACAGTCATCCTCGAGGACTGCCCCATAAAACATGGCTTTTGTGTGCCCAGATACAATTCTAGCTTATTTTCTTTGTGCCTTCAGCATTAAAGGGAGACGGCCAGGCATCAGCATGTCAGATATTCCCAGATGGGGTCGGATTCCCAAAGCAATTGGAAAGGTTTAAAATATTGCTACAAGCCAGGCTGGCGGCAGCGTCTGTATCACAATGACCCGTTTAGAACCAGCTACACTCTCACAGGTTGTGTGGGAGTTTACTGCCAGGACTGTGGGAAGCATAACCAGTCCGATGAATTTACTCCATTAGCCTGACTGGGGCTGCTGGTGGGCTGTGTGCAGACACACAGCCAAGCTCTCGCCCGGCTCCTGGGGCTGGTGATGGACAAAGCAAAGCACAGGCTGTGGCCTCAGAAGTGTTTTACAGGCCCCCAGGGGTGACCAAGCCTTGAGCATCCAGCCCCGACATGTGCATCCTTAGTTATTACTAAGTTACCAGCATATCGCTATCACACAAGAGAGACAAAGGTGTAATAAACAGTATTTTCTTAGGAATCCCACTGATCATGAGTTTTGTCCCATCTTTAGTTCATGTCTCAGGGCATGACATACGTTTCATAAATGGAAATCCGTATTTTCCTTGGTCTTCCTAATAATGTTTAGTTTTGGGCCAAATTCCTGTGGCATCTGTTGACAGAGAATTGTTTATCCTGGTAACGTGGCCCGCGCGTGCCAACGACAGTGTCAGGACTGCCATTTGTCCTTCCTCTGCGCGTGCCTGAGGAGCACGCAAGTCTGCGGTTTCTCCCAGGAATGTTTTGCATCCACCTGTCTACTCCGTGAGCATTTGTTTACTGAAAACTAAATGCACAGATACATGAGTCCACCTGTCGGGCAAAGATGAATCCATGACCCTTTGGAAAGTTCTGGAAGCAGACAGATGGATGAAGGCACCCCATCCACTTCTTTGGAAATGAGAGTTTGAGGGAGCCTTTGGGACAGTTTGCACACGGTATATGACATGGGGCCACCACACTGATAGGCCCAATCTGTGTAACAGCACCAAAGACGTAAATGAAATGCCAGTTTTAGTATTTTGTTTCTGACTTCAACTGTATGCATATGTAGACTGGTGAATGAGGTTTAGGATAAGAGTACAGCTGGTGATTCTCAACCAGACTTCAGCTAAAAAAAGAAACAAAAAAAGACCAAAGTGATTACAGATAAATGAGGCCGTAATTCTCTGTCACCCCCACAAGACAAAACGGGGTT